ACAGGCTCCGGACACGCAGGCTCAGCGGCCATGGCTTACGGGCCCAGCCGCTCCGTGGCATGTGGGATCCTCCCGGACCGGGGCATGAACCCGTGTCCCCTGCATCGGCAGGCGGACTCTCAAACACTGCGCCACCAGGGAAGCCCGGAAAGCTATCTCTCCTAAGTAAAGGTATTCTAATAGTTTTTCTTTCTTTCTTTCTTTCTTTTTTTTTGGGGGGGGAGGGGGGCGGGTATAGTTGATTTACAATGTTGTTTGGTTTCAGGTGTACAGCAAAGTGATTCAGCTATACGTATACATATATCTATTCTTTTTCAGGTTCTTTCCCCATATAGGTTATTGCAGAGTATTGCTATACAGTAGGTCCTTGTTGATTATCTATTTTATATAGAGTAGTATGTATATATTAATCCCAAACTCCTAATTTATCCCTCCCCCTCACCTTTCCCCTTTGGTAACCATAAGTTTGTTTTCTATACCTGTGAGTCTGTTTCTGTTTTGTAAATAAGTTCATTTGTATCTTTTTTTTTTTTCGGCCATGCCACGCGGCTTGCGGGATCTTAGTTCTTTGACCAGGGATCGAACGCAGGCCCCCCACAGTGGAAGCGCAGGGTCCTAACCACTGGACCACCAGGGAATTCCCCATTTGTATCATTTTTAAAGATTCCACATATAAGTGATATCATATGATGTTTGCCTTTCTTTTTCTGACTTACTTCACTTAGTATGATAATCTCTAGGTCCATCCATGTTGCTGCATATGGCATTATTTCATTCTCTTTTATGGCTGAGTAATATTCTAATGTATATATGTACCACATCTTCTTTATCCATTCAAGGACAGATAAATGGATAAAGGGATTCTAGTCTTGACCAGGGCTTGGTACTTAGGCGCCTGCAAGGGTCAAGGGATTCAAGTGAGCAGTTCTTGTGTCTTGGTCAGGGCACATGAGGGAAAAACGATTGCAATTGAAACATAGGATCACATCTACTCTCATGAAACAACCAAACAAGTGACTGTCTAGATGGGGTTATTCCAGAAGCATTGTCTTCCTCTCCCTACCTGAAATGCCACCCTTGGAGAAACGTCCCCTGGGTCTAGAAGGTTGTTTTCATCTTTATAAGTGTCCTGCTGGAGGGTGAATCCTGGTGATAGGGCTTCCCCTTCATCCTGAGCTGCATGGCAGGCTTTCGTGCACTCAGCTCAGGATCGAGTTCTTGGGAGAGAGGCCCAGGGCGTCCCAAGAAGAGGAAGGCGACAGGACACTGAAAACACACCTCACATATTTTCCCTGGTCTGGCTCTGGATAAGTTGGGAATCAACGTGATTTTAAAAGAAATTAGAACACATCACATCTTATGTGGTTCTTTGATAATCAGAACAAAGGCAAGATAAATCTCTTCACCATTTCATATGTGATTTCCCCAAATGAAGGAAATCCAAACATATGGCAAAGAAGCTTTAAAATCTGTTAATGTGTGAATGGCATGATAAAAATGGAACTGGGGAGTGTTGTGAACCGCCAGGCCATGTTCTCTGAGAATGGAAGGGAATCTCTGGAACCGATCTTCTCCCTTTGCTGTGGAGCTGACTAAATCTGGCTCCGGGGACTACTTCTCTCAGGCTGGCAATGGAATTTTGAAGAAACAGTGCTACTTGCTAGGCTTAAATATACTGAAAGAGGGGCTCAAAATGAGGTAATAGAAAAACTGTCAAGTGCTACAGAAAATCTGGTGACTTTAGGTGTTTGAATCCCAGTTCCATCTACTGTGTGACCTTGGGCAAGTCAGCTGACCTAACTCTGTTTCCTTAGCTATTAAGTGAGACGGATCATTTTCAGCTTATGAAACTATTTTGAGGAGAATATCAGTACCATCAGCAAAATACCTAGTCATGGTAAGGGCTGAAGAGATGGGAATTATTATATGATGAAGAAGGCCAACCTCTATGTTCAACCTAGCCCATCCGACTGGGTAACGATAAAGCAAGTCTGAGCTTCTAGTAAGTGGCATCTATAAAGGCTCTAAGTCACTACAAGGAATCAGTAAGTGGCTTTCAGAGAGCAAAGCTAAAAATTCAGCCTGCTTTCATCAATGAGCACACAAGTTCACTGTCAACCTGTTTGTTAATCTCAGTATTAATCACTGTCCTCTCATTTGAAATTGAAATAAGAAAACTACCCGCCTTTTGGACAATATGTTTAAGCTTTTATTGTGAATGGGAACAAGGACTGGAATCTAATAGACAAATAGCCCAGATGTAAAGAACATTAATTGGAGCACTCTTTATGGACAACTATTCACAGCAAACAAGTTCAAACCAGAAGATGCTGCTTGAAAATCATGACTTTAGTCAAAGTTGAAAGATACAAGAATAGTTAAGTATTTTGCATAAAGGAAACTTGATGACCCAGTAGAACTGATGCCCATAGAACGCAGTCTCTTGAGGGTTTTGTTTTGCTTCTTTGAGGGAGGCCACCATTGTCAGTATCAGTTCAGCTGGGGGTTCCTTCCTTCACGCTGAGAACCTGGAGAGTCCACCAACTTAAAAAATATTAGAAAGAGTTAAGCAAACGTAGTTAGTGATGCCAAAGTCTAATGCTAAAAGTAAATCCATCCCAATAAACCATCAGTATCACTTGGGAGACTGGTAGAAAGGTAGATTCCTAGGTCTACCCCAGACCTACAGAACTGGAAACTCTGGGGATGGGACCCAGCCATCTGTGCTCTCACAAGTCCTCCAGATGACTCTGAGCATGTTAATGCTTGAGAACAACAGCTGTCCCCCGAGAGAAGTTAACTTCCTCCTTTCGGGGAGCCACTATATTTTCAGGTCTTTTTGTTATATTAGCTTAACTTGTGTTCTGATATGACTACATATGTGTGTGTGTATATATATATATATTTTTTTTTAAAGAAAACCTTATTTTTTTAAATTTCTTTTATTGAAGCATAGTTGATTTACAATGTTGCGTTAATTTCTGCTGTATAGCAAAGTGATTCAATTATACATGTACATACATTCTTTTTCATATTCTTTTCCTCTCTAGTTTATCACAGGTTATTGAATATAGTTCCCTGTGCTGTACAGTAGGACCTATTCTATGTATAATAGTTTGCATCTGCTAATCCCAAACTCCCAATTCATCCCTCCCCCACCCCCTCCCCATCTTGGCAACCACAAGTCTGTTCTCTATGTCTGTGAGTCTGTTTCTGTTTCGTAAGTTCATTTACACAGGTATAGTTTGACCAAAGTTGGAAATTACATGTATTATCCCCAGGAATTTGTTACTAAAGTAGCAGCTGGGTAGGGAGACTGCTAAGGATTGTGGGATCTTAATTGTTACTTTGCTTCTTTGGCAATGCCTCATTCCACAAATCAAAGCTAGTTTATGAACTACACAATTCAATATTATAAACCCATGACTGTAAATGGTAGTCGTGTGGGCAACTTGGGAGGAGGAGGCAATCGGGGTTTCTGCCAGTTCTAAATGCATTGTGGTTGGCTTGTTGTGTCTTCTGTTCAAATTAACTAAAACTGAAGGAAGAATGAGTAGCTCTACTTTTTTTTTTTTTCCTCTCCCGTTGCGGAGCACAGGCTCCGGACGCGCAGGCTCGGCGGTCATGGCTCACGGGCCCAGCCGCTCCGCGGCATGTGGGATCTTCCCGGACCGGGGCACGAACTCGTGTCCCCTGCATTGGCAGACGGACTCTCAACCACTGTGCCACCAGGGAAGCCCAAGTAGCTTTCCTTTTAAAACACTTCTTTGTTCCCATATAGCACCCTTTACCCTCTGAGATGAGAAAACACTTTTTATCCAGATGAGAGCTTATTACACTTTCCAAGATTCTCTGGCAATTCAGGTTCCCCAACGTCCAGACCAGCCGTTTGTTTCTAATAAAGGAATTACTGAGATTCTCAGATTAGTTATTATCTGCTCTGTGGCTCCATTGTTTTGACCAGGTGATAATGAAGCCAGGGCCTGGGGTTCAATTCCCACACAGACCAATTAGCTTCATTTTTCCCCAGGAGCCCAGGCTGCACTATTAAGGGTCGCCAGGCTGCCTGAAGATGCTGCCATACAGCCTCTCCCGTTGCTGAGCACAGGCTCCGGACGCGCAGGCTCGGCGGCCATGCCTCACGGGTCCAGCCGCTCTGCGGCATGTGGGATCTTCCCGGACCGGGGCACGAACCCGTGTCCCCTGCATCGGCAGGCGGACTCTCAACCACTGCGCCACCAGGGAAGCCCCATGACTCTTTTTGAATTATGGTTTTCTCAGGGTGTATGCCCAGCAGTGGAATTGCTGGGTCATATGGTAGTTCTCTTTTTAGTTTTTTCAGGAACCTCCATACTGTTCTCCATAGTGGCTGTATCAAGTTACATTCCCAACGACAGTGCAAGAGGGTTCCCTTTTCTCCACACCCTCTCCAGCATTTATTGTGTGTAGATTGTTTGACGCTGGCCATTGTGACTGGGAGGCACTGTTTCTGAGGTGGGAGCCAGCAGAGTGAAGCTGGCCCCCGCCTTCATAGAAACAGGGTAATCAGAAGCATTTTAGTTACTCTTTCCCTATATTTGGAGCTTCCGTTGGAGCATTTCACATATTAATAAACAGAACCTTTCTATTCTCTGTACTGATCTGATGGGACAGTGGGATCTCTCCCTTAAAAGTGAGAGCAAATTTGTACATTTACTTCCTTTCCGTAAACCCCCCAGCAATGCATTCCCCAGTTCCCTTTCCTCGTGCTCGCCAAATAAGAGAAAAAATCCTAGGCTTCAAAAAACAATGAACTGGGTCCCAATTACAAAAGGAACCCAAAGGCTAACCTCAACCTTCATTGAAGCTCAGGACAATCCACAGCCGCATCCAGGGTTATGGATTAGGGCCTGGAGCTGAGCTGAACACTGTTTCATGTTATAGAAACCATAGGGTAAAAGTTCCATTAACTTTTGTGAGAAGGGTAAAGTTAAAAGATTTAGGTTCACCTTGAAAATGGTTGGCCATAATTGTTGCTAAAAACTTCCTGTTTGCTGTGACATAGTAGTCTAGATTTAGTGCGCATTTACATGAATCTTTTCTGAATCAAGTAAATATCTTTGTCATCAAAATGTAGGAAGATGCTCAGTTTCTAACTACAGCTCTGGGAGATTTGGCCACAGGACTTGATGTTTTGTTACTAAAACGGGAGAGGGGAGTATATGTGGATAGTTTTTTAAGTTTAAGAAAAGTCCTCAGCCTCTGAAAATCCCTGCTGCTAGTTTTTGGTTTTTTTTGCGGTACGCGGGCCTCTCACTGTTGTGGCGTCTCCCGTTGCGGAGCACAGGCTCCAGACACGCAGGCCCAGCAGCCATGGCTCACGGGCCCAGCTGCTCCGCGGCATGTGGGATCTTCCCGGACCGGGGCACGAACCCGTGTCCCCTGCATTGGCAGGCGGACTCTCAACCACTGCGCCACCAGGGAAGCCTCCTGCTGCTAGTTCTGATAATGCTCAGCTACATTACTAAACTTCTTTCTAACATTGAGAGATATAAGGATTTCTAACAGAATGATTCTTCTGGTACTTCCTCCTTGTGAATAAGATAATTGTAGGATGTTTTCAGTTTTCATATCAACATACTTTCACTGAGGTGGAATTTCCAAAGCAAGAGAAGTGATAAACTGTTTTGGTTTTGTGCAAAGACTAAACTAAGTGTTCAAATTGTTTTTCATATTGCTGGGAAATACATCCAAAAGAATGGTACCAATGTGTGCCATAGCTAGTTATTCAATCTGAGGTGGAATTAAATGAGATGGGCTTTCTGAGCTTGTAAAAAGAGGAACAAAGCATAAAGAGATATAATAGAAAAGCAAGGCCTGATTAGAAAAAGATGGCTTTTCCAGCTCACACTGTATACTGATAAGTATTGTCCCCTTAACGCAGTCACTTTCTGTGACTGGCCACCCAATCCATCCTATAGAACTGCTGCTCGGAGACCTTTTTGGAGCTATTCTTTTGCAATTGCCTTTGAAGTTTACAGAATGTCCTTCTGAAGATGGCAGAAAAATTTTGATCCTTGCGGAAGGAGTTGCATTTTTCAAAACATTCCAAAGTTATGCAGAGCTAAGTTTGGGGGAATAAAGCAATTCAAAGTGGGTATTGTTTGGGTCAAAATGAAGCACTATGGATTAATAACGTGGTAGGGCGTGGGGGGCTATTTAATGAATGAGCTATGAGGGTAAGTCCATTTCAGTGCTGTTGTTGTTGTTGTTGTTTAATTATAAATGTAATTATTTTCCTCTCTTTTTTTAGATGTTGGGGGTAGAAGTTTATTAATTAATTTATTTATTTTCACTGTGTTGGGTCTTTGTTTCTGTGTGAGGGCTTTCTCTAGTTGTGGCAAGCGGGGGCCACTCTTCATCACGGTGCGCGGGCCTCTCACTATCACGGCCTCTCTTGTTGCGGAGCACAGGCTCCAGACGCGGAGGCTCAGTAGTTGTGGCTCACGGGCCTAGCCACTCCGCGGCATGTGGGATCCTCCCAGACCAGGGCTCAAACCCGTGTCCCCTGCATTAGCAGGCAGATTCTCAACCACTGCGCCACCAGGGAAGCCCCATTTCAGTGTTTGGCCAAGAATAGGCCAGGCCAGCCGGGGCTCAAGAAGTCAATCACAAATTCCGAGAGCCTTTAGAACCACGTGATCTATTCACAGACAAGGGTGTGGACAAGAGAATTAGTCATTCAGGGCTCTGTACAAAGTTGATACTTATTTCTGTATTGCTTGATTGAATCCTGATTTTCTCTCTGAATAAAGGCTACCAGAGACTTTCTCTCTAGGTGCTTAATGCAACAAAGGAACTTTTTTTTTGCTCTGCATTTAGCACAGAGAATCCACAGTAGACCGAAGAGTGGTGACACATAAAGCCTCCCTCTGGAGAAACCATCTGAGGCTTGGCCACGCCAGCCCTGAGCCTCTGTTAAGGGGTCATCAATCAGAGTTACCCACCATGAAAGAGGGACATGGTGAACTCTCCAAGGTCTGTGAGTGAAACACAATATTATTTATTGGCAGAAACATCGAGAGGGAAAGATGCTACTGCATCCTGTATCCTTCATATTTAAGATCAATGAGGACTATTCCCAGAAGATGCCTCACATGGCAGTGGACTGGCCAAGGCAGACAGCGCGGGCTTTTCCCTTGAAAAGCTGCACGACTGGTCTCAGTTTCCTCACCTCTAAAATGGAAAGAATAATAGAATCTTCCTGAATCTTTCTCCTAAGACTGCTGTGAGCATTACCCGAGGAAATGGATGAAGGTAAGGTGTTTCACCCAGTACTTGGATTATAAAAAATACTCACTAAAACTAGCAGTTGTTATTATTAGGAGTATTGTAATGATTATTTTTGCCTTTTATGATAAATTTCATGGAAACTTCTTAAAAGTTAATGAGAATCACATCATTTTCAGTTGCCTTGCTTTCTTCCTATAAATTTTATTCTCTTCTATCTCATTTACTCTCTTTGTATCTAAACAATGCCAATTTGTTATAATTCTTTTCCCCTATCCTCTATAAAATCATATACTGAACAGATCAGTTGACCTGAGATATTTTCACCAAGTTTTGAAATATTAGGATGAGACCCGAGCTAGGTAATCTTGGAACAAATATGAAGGAGTACTATTTTGCATCAAAAGTAGCAAACAAGAATGCTCTCTTCCAAAAGCTTCCGTGAATAGGCCCTTACACTAGTGTTCATCAAAAATAAACATATCGGGCTTCCTTGGTGGCGCAGTGGTTGAGAATCTGCCTGCCAGTGCAGGGCACACGGGTTCCAGCCTTGGTCTGGGAAAATCCCACATGCCGCGGAGCAAATAAGCCTGTGCACCACAGCTACTGAGCCTGCGCGTCTGGAGCCTGTGCTCCGCAACAAGAGAGGCCGCGACAGTGAGAGGCCCGCGCACCGCGATGAAGAGTGGCCCCCCTTCACCGCAACTAGAGAAAGCCCTCGCACAGAAACGAAGACCCAACACAGCCAAAAATAAATGAATAAATAAATTAATAAAAAACATATCTGTAGATCCACAGGGATCAACTCAAATAATCTATGACCTCACTATCAAAATATCTTGGGAGTCTGGGAGGCTAAAAAGTCCTATCAATGCGCAATTGCTAACAAAACTCCTAAATTGGAGTTTGATGTGTTAAGAGGAAAAATAATTTATGATGTTGAAAAGAAAAGCTAGCATGAGGATTGGCCACTCATTTTCTGAGTGTGTACTGATGTCAGCCCGATGTAGTTGCTGTGAAGTCTTACCTCTGAACAGTTTTATTCTTCCCTGCTCAAACCTCCCCTCCTTCCAACTCTCCCCAAACACCTCCTACCTCCCTGACCCCTCCTCACCCCATTCCCACTTCCCCAGTATGTTCATTATACCTTTGAGTCTCGATCCCGCGTCTTTAAAGTTGCTGCTGTCCTCTGAATCCCAGGTAGACTGGCGAATGCCCAGGGGCTCCCGTTGAGGTGGCTGATGGCTTCTGGTCCCCTTTGCTTCTAGGAGGTTTAGCAAATTCCTTGTAGCTTCCTCCCACCGAATGTACTCCCTCAGCTGCTCCTTCAGGCTCCCTCCCTCATAAACATACAGGGACTCTCCTGTGCTCTTTTTTCCCATTAAATGTCCTGTTCAAAAACAAAAACAATATATAGCCAGTATTTTATAATAACTGTAAATGGAGTATAACCTTTAAAAATTATGAATCACTATGTTGTACACCTGTAACTTATATAATTTTGTATGTCAATTATACTTCAATTTAAAAAAAATTCAATGCCACATTCATAAAGAAATAAAACAGGCATATACTCTGGTTCAAAAAAACCCCAACAAAAACAGAATGCCACAAATTTAACCCAGGGGCATGAATGAACAAGAAATTAAAAAGGGCACCAATTGTGTTTGTGCTGCTTCCTCCTAAATGTGGGATAAATAGCATTTTATTGATATTATTAGGAGATAGTTCATAAACGACTGACAGATTTTGATCCCTACTCAAAACGCCTAATGAATGGACAGAATTCAAACTGCAGCTCAGAAGCCCTGGGTCTGGTCCCAGCCCCTCTGCTAACTAGCCAGGTGACCTCTCTCAAGTCATTTAGCATCCCGAACCTTCAGTTTTATCAACAATAAAATGAACATGTTGGACCAGATGACATCGAAAGAGCCTTCCATATCTAAAACTCTATCAACATTTCTGTGTGCACCGAATTCTATTCCTAGCTGAATGATGGCGTTCGAACATCTACCCCAGTCAATCTTGAATTGTTCCTGAAAAGAAAAGTCTCCGTGCTTTTCTTTGCGTGATTAAAAAGGTGTTGCTCGGACTTCCCTGGTAGAGCAGTGGTTAAGAATCCGCCTGCCAATGCAGGGAACACAGGTTCGAGCCCTGGTCCAGGAAGATCCCACACGCCGCGGAGCAACTAAGCTGTGCACCACAACTGCTCTAGAGCCCGTGGGCCACAACTACTGAGCCCACATGCTACAACTACTGAAGCCTGAGCGCCTAGAGCCTGTGCTCCACAGCAAGAGAAGCCACCGCAGTGAGAAGCCCGAGCATCACAACGAAGAGGAGCCCCCGCTCGCGGCAGCTAGAGAAAGCCCGTGCACAGCAGCAAAGACCCAACGCAGCCAAAAATAAATAAATTAATTAATTAAAATAAATTAATTAATTAAAAGGTGTTGCTTTCCTCTTACCTGTAATACAAACGTAGCAAAGGAATTTTTCATTTAAACTTTCTTAGAATTTTAGCTGAGACTGAACCTAGAAATTGCACCTAGAAATTGTACCTAGAAATTATAGTTTGTAATGAAACACAGGTTGAAGACAAGTTTTGGCCAACACTTTTCAGCCATATAAATGCAGAATTTTCTCTTGGAGGTCTAAAATGGTCACCAAAGTTTATCATTAGCTCCAGAGATGAGCATTTGCCATATAAACAAATAAAAGTTGCTGTGCAGGAGGCCAAACCACTAAAAACATGGAAATTCATGTATGCAAATGGGGATAGCCTTAGGGTCAGAAGGGTATGGTATTGAAGGTCTGTATTCTTTACATTTTAGCCCGTTGCTTGAATATACTCACATTATCTTATTTACTTTCTTCAGTTGATTTTCTCCATTTCTCTGTAATTGGGTTTTATAGCACTTTCAAATTTCTAACACTAGTAAAACTATGGTGCTTTTGATTTAAAGCTCACAAGGAAAGAGCTCTCTGTGGCTCCAGTGTTGACTGGCATTAGATGTAAGGCAAGCATCATGAAAATAGTACGTGGCAGACCTCAGTCACTGCAAATGGAAGGAGGCCCCTTCCCAGCTGCTCTGTCCACCAAGAGAGAAGCCCTCACAGTAACTCTATTGCTTGTGTGTGTATTTACAGTTCACAGGATGTTTAAATGCAGATTATTTCATTTGATCCACATTGTAATAACTTTGATGAAAACGAGACTGGCCAAAAGTCACATACATGCAAGTAAAGATTCTGGGATTAAAATCAGCTCACAGTCCAGACTCTACGATGTTATACTGCTTTGAAGTGTCTTTGAACTTCCTAAAGATATAAGGCAGTTAGAAATCATTCTGGGGTCTGGAAATAAGGATAAGGTCTGCCAAAGGCTTTCTAATATTATCAAAAGGAATGGAGATCATATATCACTACGTCATTACTCAGTTATGCAACTCAGAAAAATTAATTCTGTGTGTACTGGGGAGCCTGAAAATGAGGTTTTCCTGCATTGCAGTGTGAGCTTTGCCAAGTCACTTAGGACCTGACACTGCACACAATTTTAAGACTCTATTAAGGACACTGTCCCAAATGAAGCATTGGAATCTTGAAAAACTGGCTCCTCACTTATCTGCTTGGTGAACTTGGTACCCAGATATCTACTAAATAACTTTGCATTTAGCCATCACAATGATTATGTTCCACAACCTCCCAGGAAGTAGCAAATCATTTGGCTTAGAAATATGGAGGAAATCGAATCATGATAATGGGAAAGTGGGATTAGAATCTGATGCTCCCAGTAATAACCTCAGTTGCTCTTGTCCTCGGTCATTGTCTATCATCTGGTTAGGATGCTGGAAATGAGAAAGACGTTATTGGCAATGAAGCAGAGGCATGATGGAGATGCTTTTACAAATAACTTCATTTTTGTCATGCTTGAAGAATTCTGTGACTTTTCTACAATGGAAGGCTAAAATGGGCCTGCATTCTGTGGGTGATTTAACATAGATCTTTGGGACCTTGTACTGAATTTCAGTATTTGCATATTTGGTGGATGGGTGTTCAGACTCCCTCCCCTAGACCACAAATGTTTTTCTTTTTTCTAAGGAAAGTGCGCCATCTAGAACGTCCCAGGGAAGCACACGTTCCCTGGGTCCTAATGCACTTCTTAGCTAGCTAACGTCAACCAAATAATCGTCTCCATGGCAACGTGGACGCTATGCCCACTTCCATCTCTTCTCCCATCATCATTTGTTATGTATTCGTATAATAATAATGGAGATCAAAAGATAGGCACTTGAAAAAGTAAAACCTTGCCAGGCGTGGGGGGGAAGCTTTTGTCCTCTTTAATCACTTAAAAATACCACTAAAATGGCAGGTTTGCAACAGAAAAGAATTTTCTTGAGCTCCATACTTGAAGATTATCCTAACTTCAAAAAATATCCATTAAGACAGAAAGTGTTGAGCATTAAGAGCTAGTTTTTCTGGAGTGATGCTTCAGCTGTATTTCACAGTAGCTCGGGTAGCACAATCATGTAACGCCATTCTGCAGCTGAGCACTGGTGCTCAGCATTCAACCCTCCACGGCGCGCTCCACATCAGAGTTAGAACCACGACCAGAAACATTTCATGGGTGCACAGGGGATAGTTACCAGTGTTAGTGCTGACCTATATTTTCATGGCACACAAAACATTTCCATGAACATCGAGACAGATAAGAATTGGTTACGTTTTCAGTCTGTTAACTTGTTTTTCCATGGCCACATTACGTTTCTCTCAGCTGGAAGAAGCAATTCACTTAACAAACCTGCAAATTTGTGCTAACAGCTTCTTCCCGGACAGCAATATGTAGCTTTCGTTTGCATTAATTAAAACTAACCTCCATGTCTTCAGTGACTGAGGAGGACAGGCATTTACTTAGGGCAGAAACCTCAATTTAAAATCTAACATGGCATTCATGCTTGTGAATGCTCACATTCCAACAGAGGGCATGTCCACCCAAAGCAAACTTTTGCGCAACTGCAATGTCATTTTAAATCTAAATGCAATTTTCTATGTCACCTCCCTCTTTCCCTTGTTCTTCATCAACTCTGCACAGTTAGTCAAGGGAGAAAAAGGAAAAAGAGTGTGTTCGAGAACAAATAAGAGAATAAGACAATTTGGGGGTGTCACTGGTCAGTACACTTTGGGGCTGGGAATGCCCAAGTACCACCATGAAGGGTGATGAAATGGCCGACACCCGAAAGACCTGGGGACTGATGTGCTCTGGAATCACAGCAATCAGCGTTGGCTTGCGTCAGAAATACCATGATTATAGCTTCCCAGCTAACTCTCTTGTCCTGCGTTTAGCCTGCAAGGGTTACATTAACTGTAAGTCTTTTTAGGGCTTCCCTGGTTGAGAGTCCGCCGGCCGATGCAGGGGACACGGATTCGTGCCCCGGTCCCGGAGGATCCCACGTGCCGCGGAGCGGCTGGGCCCGTGAGCCATGGCCGCTGAGCCTGCGCGTCCGGAGCCTGTGCTCCGCAAGGGGAGAGGCCACAGCAGTGAGAGGCCCGCGTACCGCAAAAAAAAAAAAAAAATATATATATATATATATATATATACACATATATATATATATTTAGTACAAAAACATGGATGAGCAAAAGAGGCTGGAAATCTGGAAGTTTCATTCCACCTTCCCAGCCCACTGGCCGCTGGCCGCACTGGACAATGACCACTTGATCTAAACTCCCAGGAGCCCTTTTTAGGCATCGATTCGATTCTAGGTTTGGCTTCTTTAACATCTTCTAAGCATCCTTCTCTCTGGAAGTGCAAGGGTTTTCACCCATCCCAACCCTTCCTCTCTATACCAGGCTCCTGGGTTCCGGGTGTCCCTCAAAGATGACAAATACTTTCATCCCTGGGGTTGCCAAGACTTGGCAAATGATTCTTTCAGTAATAATGAAAACTACTCTATCGCAACCCAGAGCGCTCCATTTCTCTGAGGGAAACCTACACAGCGCACAGGAGCTGAGGACGCGCAGTTCTAGCTTCACCCCATCTTCTAAATTCATCCTAGTCTTCACCCCGAGAGTCTGTAAATCCTCTGAGAGTTGAATTAGCAAGTATCTTTCCAACACACCCTCCCCTACTTCTAAGTAGATGACTAAGGAAATCGTGAAACGCACACGTACACACACACACACACACACACACACACACACCGCCTTAAATCTCTCTAGGGACCGACCAGCTTCCCGGGAAATGCTAGAGCTGTTGTAGATGGCTGTGTGGGGAGCTGTCTGAGGAAGTCGAACTCTTGGCATCATTTGCTAGAGGCTCTGCTCGGCGCGGCCGAGAGCCCCGGGGTGACGCTGGAGCAGCGAGAAGCAGCGGGGCCGCTACCTGCCTCCCAGCTGCGGGGAAGCAAGCGGGTGCGCGCTCCGCGGCCCGAGACCCGGTCCAAGCCGCTGCGGTTCCGGGGGCCGGGACGAGAGAACCTCCAAGCCCGTGCCTGGAAAGCAGGACTTGTAGGCAGGGGGAAGAGGGAAGGAGCTAGGGGAGAGCGTGAAGAGAGGCGGAGAAAAGCGAGGACTTCGGGGACAGAGACCCGGGATCAGCGTGGAGACCAGGTGTGATTCCCGGAGCACCGAGCCTGCCGGATGGAAGGAGGGAGGGTTGGGCAAAAGGGCAGGGAAAAGAAAATCGCTGCAAGGCAAAGAAGGACTGAGGAAATTCAGGCGAGCCCCAAATAGAGGTGGGATTCAGGCGCTGCTTGCCGAACAGATTTGAAACCCAGGGTGGGCGCTGCGCCCCGTGTCCCACACCTGTGGCTTTGCCGGGGGTAAAGGCGCAGCCGCCAGGCTGGACCAGGGTTCCGAGACGCGCTCGGGGACCCAGCTCCCCAAAATTGTTCAGGGAGAGAACCGTGCCAGACAGGGTTGTGATTAGACGGATAAAAGGGGGTGCTGGGAGATGCGGAGGGAGGGTGATCTCCGCGTACGGCTGGGATTTTGGAGAGCTGCGCGCTGGCTCGGGTGTCCTGGCGGGGGGGAGGGAAGAGAGCGGGAAAGGACCGAGGGACCAGCCGGAGGCTGCCGAGGGAACGACGGCTTCCCGGGATACTGAAGGGCAGGGTGGAGTTTTGGGAGAACGGGGTTGGCGTCTGAGTGGAAAGGTCGGAGCAAAACCCAACACCCAACGCAGAGCCGCAGAAAAGCTGAGAGATGGGGAGACTGGCCCCCTCGGCTGGCTGGTCCCGCCAGGACTAGAGCGCGCCGGACACTCACCCACCGCCCAGTGGTTGCCGCGCGGGTACATCTTGGCCAGCAGGGTCCCTCCGCCCGCCGACACCGGGGCGGCCGGTCCCCGGGGCGCCTGGCAGAGGACCAGAGCCAGCAGGACGAGCGGGAAGTCGCGGCCGCGCATGGTCCCGGCGGGAAGCCCTCGGAGCGCCGCGGTGAGGCTGGGCTGAGAGTGCGCTTCCACCGCAGAGGACAGACGGGAGGATCGAGACCTCAGAGGAGCGCCGCCGCCGCCGCCGCCAGCGCCGCTGCTGCAGCCTCCACGACGCCCCGACTTTATATGCAAGCCCGGGCGGGGGCGCAGGGGGGTTCTCCACCGCCGACCCCAGCGCTCTGACGTCTCCCTGGAGCGAGCCGGAGCGCTGGGACAATGGTCTCCGAAAATCATCCATCTTCCTGCCGAGCGATGAACAGGCTGAGCGTACATTGTCCCCTCTCTCTCTCCCTCGTAGCCCCGTCCGCCTCCCCCAGCCTGGGTTAGTTCTTCCTATCCTCGACGTCTTCGCTCCAGCACAATTTAGGGAACTCCTCCCTCCCCAGCCTCACCGGGGCGCCTCCCGCGTTAGCTGCCTTCGGATCCTTCGAGGAGGAGCAGTGACCCCGCGGCCTGACCCCAGGGGCGAGAGGCGCAGCTGGGGTGGGGGAGATAGAGAGGGATGTGCGCCAAGGATGGATGTTTTTAGGCTGGGCTTTGCTGGAGGGGACCGGAGCCCGGAATGCAAAGGACCTCTGATTCTCAGACTTCCCCCCTTTGTGGACCACCTCCCTCCTCGCGGTCCCTGCCCATGAACCTCGCGACCTTTGCTCCCTCCCACAGAGCGCCGCCGCTTCACCGCCGCAAGACCCTCACCCCACCTGGGGTTTCGGAGGCGTCCCTGCCCGCTTGTAGGGTGCGATGGAGGCTGGAGCAGGAAAGACATGTAACGTGATCGGAGCTACAATACTAACAATAGTTTTACTATACTCCTGGCTCCCTGCACCAGCATACGGCATCCACATAACAGAAGAAGCTTCTGCGGCGATTTCCCTAGGCCGCCTCTACCAGAAAGCTCAAACTGTCCCTAAGCTGCCATTTACACACTTCTCTAGAGCTGCCCAACCTTCCCCTTCTCCTTCTGTTCTCAGATACGAGGAATGGTCACCGGCCCAACTCCCGAGGCTCTCAATGCCATGGATACAAAGAGGGTGGGCACCATAGCAATGCAACAGTGAATAGAAGCGGGTAGGATGCGGTTGCCCACGATTCGGCTGTCAGAGCCGGGCGTGTGTTGGTGTGTTCCCGCATGCCAATTCCTCACCGAGTGCTGGTGAATTGCCTCGCTGGTTGGTTCCCACTGGTGTTCCATGTCAATACTGGGCGTTGATACCAATTAGGTTGAAATCATACATCTTTCGGGATATCTGGTGATTCAATACCTCTGGTGATTCAATACATCTGTGCCGTTCTTAGAGGATGTGTGCATATTGCATGACTGAGCATTCTTGGGCTTGGAAGAGTATTCCATGCATGTGTCTGGCTAGAAGGTTAAATGCTAATTTCAAGATCACTATTATTAGCCAAGCAATAGAGTAATACTATCCGGAGGGAATACCCCAAGTGAAAATCAAGGGGAAAAAAAGCCTACAATTGGCTTGGACTCCATCCTTCTGGGTTCCCAGGCTCTGCTCATTAGTAAGCACATGTTCCACAGTCAGGTGATCATACGTAGGCTTCCCACTTCCCACTTGGCCATGAGCTTGCAGGAGCACAGGGACTCGGTCTTGTTCCCCTGTGTGTCTGCAAAGAGCCTGGATCACAGTGGTGTTCAACGATTTGATGAATGAACAACTAACCTAAGAAATGCTTGAGTCTAAATGGCTTTTGCAACCTTGAGCCTTTGCAAAACCTTTATCTCTCCAGACTAAGTTATAGAAAAATGTCCTTTCCCCTTAGTTTAATCAAGATTATTTTAGAATCTTTTAATGACGTTTTTCCCACTATGAGACCAAGGGAAAACTACTGTAAATACAGTGAAGTGTGGGAACAGCTCTACAGAAAGTGCAACTCTTCTGCAAATTCAGGCAACACACTCTTGGGTCTATAGCAGACCAGGAGCTACCCAGGTTCCTCCATTCACTTCAGCTCTTGCTCTAAGCACCCTAGTCTACAGGCTTTCTGCAGCCGGTCTCGGGCTTAGACTTGTCATTTTCTTTGGCATCCCACAAGGGCAGAGAGTGTGTCAGTCTTTGCTCAGGGCTGAATCCACAGTGTCTGACCCAGTCCAAGGTACAGAACAGGGACTCAAGAGATGTGAATGGCTGCATTGTCCTCCAGGTATAGCAGCCTGAGTCCAGTCCTCTAACCAGAAAAGACAATGGATTGTTACAAGTTAGAGAAAGAAACCATTGCAGGTTTCATTCAGCCAGTACTGAATGAGCCCCAGTAGATCCTGGCTGGGTGTCTTTTCATATCGCTTTTAAAATCTTAACCACAGCCCTGCCAGATAGGGATGACTTGTTCCCCTTCTTTGTTATAGCTCAGCGCTCTGTTCCACGTAGATATTCAGGAACCCAGGTTCATTCCATCTTGTGCCTCTACCCCTCCCTAGTGCTCTGCTCCTCAAAGGGATGTTCTGTAAGGAGATAAGGAGCTTGTGTCAGGATGTAAATCAGTGCATTGCTTCCTTCATCGAGAATATCTTGCTTTGTCAGCTGAACACTGTGTTTAATGATTTGCATTTAGTGCTGTTGATTTGCATTCTGACATAAGCTCTTTATCTTGCTGTGGATGGGTTACAAACAGTTCGAGGCTGAGCAGCGGATGCATGGACCACACTTAATTAGCACTAAGTGTACTGTCCCTGCCTGCATGGCCTAGATAGCAGCTGGCACGACAGGGCAGATGGGGAGGCGCGCCACTCTCTTAATATACCAGCTCACACGTACCACTCATCTTTTCTGCTCATACTTTAATCGGTAAAAGCTCAGCCACAGGGAGCTGCAAGAGAGGCTGGGAGCTGTAGCCCTGATAATCAGTCAGGCACCTGGCTCTGACTGCACCGCTGCGGAAGAAGGAATAAGTGGAGTTTGATGGACGGCTGATAAACAGCCAGAACCAGCCTAGTGTGCCTCAGGCACGTGGAGGTCTTACAAATTTTATTTAATAAAGTAAAACCTCCCCTCATGGGGAGGAAAGACTGGGTCTCCGGCCCGTCTCCTCTGCCCCAGAGTTCTACGTCCCTTAGAGAATCTCTTGCTAACTACCATACCAGCACCCCTTAGGCTCAGGGGGGCATTGCAGCCTCTTATCACTGTGGCACAAATTAGGGTACCCCTCCGTTGGATTCCCCATTTGGGAATGTTTAGTCTAGTCTTTCTATAATAAATGGATCTTAGCCCTTTAGCTATTTCCACAAAAGATCTATGTAGCCAGCAGCCATGATATTTCACTGACATTTTTTGCACCTGTGTGGGGTGGGCTGGGGTCCTGGCCTCCTGTCTTGCACCTCTGCTGGAAACTGCCTCCATCTCTCAGTTTCCCAACTCCTGGTTTCCAAGAGAGGAACACGATAGACCCAGCTCATTATTGTGACCCAGCTATACGTGTTCTAGATTGCCCAACAGCTTAAAGATGAGTGAGTCCACAGTGTCCAACCCACTCTTATAGAGGCGAGGACACATGGTGGTAGATATGGCAGCGTCCACTCCACAGGGCTCTGGGCGGGACAGTGTTCCCTGAAAAGAAGGTGTGGGTATCATACCCAGCGGCCCTGCTCCCCAGATCCTCAGGCACATGCTGTCTTGTGCCTGATATTTCATGACGTCTGTTGTTTCTTTTTAGCTCGGTGACTCCCAGACATTGGAAAGGGCATTTTTTTTTAACATCTTTATTGGAGTATAATTGCTTTACAATAATATGTTTGTTTCTGCTTTATAACAAAGTGAATCAACTATACATATACATATATCCCCGTATCCCCTCCCTCTTGCGTCTCCCTCCCACCCTCCCTATCCCACTCCTCTAGGTGGTCACAAAGCACCGAGCTGATCTCCCTGTGCTATGCGGCTGCTTCCCACCAGCTATCTATTTTATATTTGGTAGTGTATATACGTCCAAGTAAGGGCATTTTTTAAATTATTCTCTTCCACAGAGTTTAGGTTTTGATGGACTTTTTAGTGTGAAACAAGCCATATTGCTTAGATTTCTCATTTTTACTCATCAAAGACATAGGAACTGTCTGTCCATCAGAATTTCTAATCAGGTTGAAGTCACCAGTATTACCTAGAGAGTAGATGTCATTCCAGCTTAAATCAGTGAAACATTGCATCTTAATTCATCTTTTCAGCTTCATTAGGGGTAAATGTATGGCTTTTTTTTTTTTTTTTTTTTTGGCCACACCACGTGACTTATGGGATTTTAGTTCCCCGACCAGGGATGGAATCCAGGGCCCCAGCAGTGAGAGCACCAAGTCCTAACCACTGGACTGCCAGGAAATTCCCCAAATGTATGACTTTTTGAAATATTGAAAATAGCACATGCGTCTCTATCTTTGCCCTAAGTGGAGTCTAGGTTAGGAGTCTTAAGGTTTAGGGGGCTGTTCTTGCTGTCACTGGTCATTTATACATTGGTGCCTATGAAGGCTTTGAGGACAGGTCTTGCTGCAGTGAGATGCTCGAAGATCCCCAGATCCAGTCCAAAGCCAAGGAAGCAGGCTGTGAAGGCAAATGGAAAGGAACAAGGAGACATTGGTGTCCTGCAAGCACATGGGCTCTAATTCTGCCTCTGCCACTTAGGAGCTACTATGTTACCAGGCCAGTGACTTAGCATCTACATCTCAGTTTCTTCATCTATAAATTGGTAATATCTCCCTCCCTAGGGTGTGTATCTGTTGACTGACAGCTACTTATTTGTTTTAATTAATAATTATGGAGAACTATAATTAGGGCAAGCTAATTTTTATCTTAGATGTGAGCGTCAAGAGGGCATAATTTTCTTGCTCAGTGCCTAACCCCAATGTCACATGCTATTTAGATCTCCCGAAGAGATAATCATACGAATAATAGCTGTCAATCAGTGAGCATCTGGCATGTACCAGGCATTGTGCACTTACTCGTGTAACCCTCACAGCTGTCCTATGACATAGATGTTATTTGTCCTGTTTTATAGATGAGGAAACTGAGGCACAGGAGGG